GGTTAACCTCAAGTCCCACCAGGGCCCAACGAAGTACCTAGCATGGAGGACGGACTCCGTTGGGCCCCGTGAAAGTTCCTGTAAATGGCCCTGTGGGGAAAGTTCCTGCAGTGGAATTGCGGCTATGCATGTGAAAACTAGTGACAGAGTTTAGGTTAGGTTCCCCAGCTTCAACATTACTCCTGTTGTTGTCTTTGGTTTGGTCCAGTGTCCTTGTAAATTATTGATCAAAGTTTAGTTCCGAATTTAGTAATTTCTGTGCAGTGAGAAAAAAAACCCATAATCTCCTCACCATCTCTGCACTGGTGGCTGTTTACACTTTCTGTATATAGTCGAGTAGTACAGTCAGTTATGAAACCAACAAGTCGCTTCAAATTTCAACCACAACAGTTTGTTCCCAGTAATATCAGTGGACATGTTCCGGTCTTAATTTTGCCTCATCACAAACATGTTTACAGTCCCACTCCCCCTTCTTTTATCACAGTCTGCCCTTTGCTCTATTTCTCCAGCTCCCTCCTCCAAATACAGAACACGCCCACTTGCTCCTTCACATCAACTTGTTTTCCTCGGTTTCCCCTGATCCAAATATCTCCTCCTGAGAAAGTGATATTTTGATACAGCAGAAAAAACCATTTGCTAGTTGTTTTTGAATATCTTTTTCAGGCTGTGTTGAGAAAATACTTAGAAAAAGGAATTGACTAGGAAAACACCACAATAGTGAGTGTGAGGTCCAGCAACAACAATGTACATGCTCTGTTGTGGTTTTTACTCTATCGGTGGCTGGCATACTCACATTGTACTCCAATGTGATTTTACTCCAAATGACAAATATATGGAACCTGAATCTGAATGCAGCTCTCAACACAACGCCTCACAGGGCTTTTTCTTACAGGTATACACAAAATAAAATGTTGGAGACAAGATGGAGACACCATGTTTGGATCTGATTTGTTCACAACATTTCCTTTTCTGTTGGGACAAATAAAATCTATTAAATGCTACTGTGCTGCTGTGACCTGTCCTTCTCCACCCAGCGGCTACACCACCACTGCTGCTGTGACCTAAAGTGCTGATGCACATTAATGCTATTGTTAGCTATTTTTAGAATGATCCATTAATTTGTTTTGTTTGTATGGATGGACAGTAGCTCAGTTGGTAGAGCATTGGCCTTAAGGCCAGAAGGTCGTGGGTTCAATTCCCACCTCTGCACCTTCTCCATTGACTCCCACTGATGACTGCTGTCGTTGTGTCCTTGGGCAAGACACTTAACCCCACTTTGCCCCACTGAAAGATCAAGGCTATGCTCATGCTCAGAGAGCAGCCACCCTCCTGTGGACTCACCACCTGCAGAGGGTCAGTGAGGGGCTGGTGCTATGAGACTTGGGTGGCATCTCTGATTGCCACCCCCCTGACCCAGAAATGGATTAAAGGGTAGAAAATGGATGGATGGATGTATGGATGGATGTGTTTCTGCTGCTACTGGACAACTAAATTTCTCCTACGGGGGAAAAATCTAAAAAGTACTGTATCTATCTATCTATCTTTATTGAGGAAAGAAGTTGGGTACCCTGGTTTTTAGAATAACATGTCCCAACAGAAAGAATAAGAATAAATAAAATGTTGAACAAATCAGACCACAACATGCTGTCTTCAATTTTAAGAAAAAACATACAAGAAAGAGCCCATGTGAAGCACTATTTGACATTAGGGTTAGAGTCTGAAAATTTTAATCCAAAGCTGTGACAGAGGACATGATTTGGAAAAGTTGTGAAAGAACCAAACTGTTTAAGAGCCATGACTTTGTTAGAGGAAGGTTATTATTACATTGCTAAAATGTTTGTGATTTGATTCATTAAGCATCATCGATCACTAAATATTAAGGCATTTTCTTTTAGGCTTGGCACTTTGAAACCAATTACGAGAAATATTTAGGACTGAAAGCAAATCTAATTCATCTCGTGTTAAATTTGATAATTTTAGAAAATGTGAAGGTAACTCTATTTACTCAGAGCTACTTTCTTGATGACTGAAATGCACCTAATCTGCAGCGTATACAATGGAAATAATTCAATCAAGCTTACAGCCCAAATACAATTGTTTATCATCATGCACGTTGATGAAATTATTCGGTTTTGATGACCTGAGGAATTCGATATGTTCTTTCAAAATAACAAATGGAAAGAAGTGACACTGTTTTAAACTATTTTAACCCTGAAAGAGAATTAAGATTACGACAGTAAAACTCACCCATATTCAACAGAGTAAAACCATCTTATCAGCATTTCCTTATCTGTACCTCTCATGTACTCTATATGCTTCATAACTTTTACTAGCTTTTGTATTTAATTCAGGTAAAATAATCTGTGCTCTCATAATATACAAGCATATTTCTTTTGCGTATTAAGTTTTCATACATACTATCCTCCCATAACCTTCTGAGTTATGTTAGTTTTCACATTTGAAGAAAGTATTGTGTTCATTCAGGGGTCCAAATATTAAACTTACTGCCCACTGGCAATTTTAAAATCGAATATAAAGTGCATATATTTGGATGTAAAAGTAAAAAGTTGTTGTGAAAGGTACAAAATGAAAGCACTGCCACCAGGGCATTTACTGAAAGCCAGGGTACCTTACTTTCAAGCCATAAAATAAGCATTGTTCTATCACTATTTTCAGTATACATTTTTGGTCTTTGCCACATCTTTAAATGAGTCTCTTTAGACAGAAGGAGTAAAGGGAGTTCCAGGCTCATTCTATCTGACAATATGCAAAAGATATCATGTTTACGAATTAGATGGAGGAGGTATGTTACCCCAGCTTTACCTCTAAGTAATGGTTACCTAAAAGTTGAATGTTCTCATTGAATACAGTGTAGTAATGGAGTTGCATAAAGATCCCCTCTGCAGTCATGTCCCTTATCTCGGATGTCCAGAGCTGTTAGCTCATGAGAAGGCAGAAGCTGATTGGACAGTGCTGAGTTCGGGGGCGGGACATTCTATTCCTTCATATACTCCACGCGTCAGCCTAATACGCTTATAAAACACATGACGACTTTTACCACGGAAAAGAACCACAAAACACACGGATTAACGCTTCCCTGCGCATTACAGGTATTATTCTTCACCTCCACAATCTTTCTCTGGTTGTTTTCTTAACTAGGGAGCTGATGGGACGCAAAGTTATCACTTCATAGGGACGTGTCTCATGTGGATTACGTTTGGAAGATTTCATCAGCCCTGTCAAAAACGCGCTCAAATAGTATCAAGCGGGTCATATGTCGTGTAAACATGATTCTAATACAGCCAATATTATTTATAGATTTGACCATTGTAAAGATGCTAACGAGGCATTATTAGCGCAATTTTATGATTATTCGTTCCTGAGACCATGCCCTAGACAGAACTTCCGGTTGTTAAGTCTGCATAAACAAAAAAGGTTATTTTGTTTTTAAAATGTTCGTTGATAATACGTTTGTGTTTGTACCGATAGAAAAAGTCTTATCCAAGTAACATGTTGTGAAAAAAACAGACCATTAGAAAACGCCTAATATTTTCTAGTTGTAGAAAGAGCCGACAGCGTCACTATTTGACGCGTTGAGGCCGGTTCCCTCCACTTATCCGTTTAGACAAAAACTGATCTAAAGATTTGACAGAGGACAAAAAAGTAATATGTTTTGAGAGCAAGCAGCGTGTTCCATTTATTTAGTTTGATTCTTAGGCACTCCAACTTTAACTGTTTTGTTGATACTCTTGCTTTGTATTAAATGCGGAAGTATTTTATTTTATTATTTACAGAATATTATTGGCCTACTTTGTCATAATCCATTCATTCATTGGAGTAATTGCCAGCGGCACCGGTTGACCTAGTTAAAGGGCGTGTTCACACTTGTTGATCTGGTTCTCTAAAGCTGGGATACTTAACTTTTTGGTTTGAATAATACATATTTGCATAAATAAAATGTTGTTAACAAATCAGACTACAACAAACTGTTCATCCTATTAGAAAATATGTCATATTCTGGATACTTGTAAGAACTGAGAACTGATTGGATTTTAATCCCTTTTCTGTCTGGAATATCTGATCTAAAGATGTGACAGGCCAAAAACACATGCATGTGGAAACTAGTGATGATCTAGTGATGATCTACTAGGGAGCTGGTTAACGTATGATCCATGGTTCTTACACAGTAACAGTTACAGTGGTTTGAAAATTTTGTACCCCAGCTTTACGTTTGTTTTGCATCTGAAACAGATCTTTTTTTCTTCAATTGAACCAAATTTGTTCCAGTTAAAATTAACCAGATTTACAAGTTTGAACGTGCTTAGGGATTTAAACTGGTTTTATGGGATCACACTATATACGATTTCATTTGGATGTGTCTTTTTTTATTTGTTTACTGTTGTTAACTATTTTCTTTCTAGAATGCATTTAGTTTGTCCTAACAGACAGATAAAATATAATGAATTAGTTGTATTTGACATACTGAGAGCCTATTGACTGAAAATACACATATATGAAAACTAGTGATAGCATTTTGTTTTGAGAGCAAGAGAATAGTTACATCAATTTAAATTAAAAATATTTTTTTAATAAAAACATTATTTAAAGCCGACCAATGGTTAGACCTCAGTTGTTTATCAAGGATTTTTTCATTGTGTCCAATCTGTTTTCACAACTTGAAAAGTAACTGATCTTCACTTTAACATAAACATGTTTATAAAAGCAAATCAGGAAATAAAACAATACTTATTTACAATTTACAATACTTAACATGTTTCAACTGTACATGTATAAACTGTATAAACATACATTAACAAATATCCAATGAACAGTTTAGAGCCCAGACATCATCATGGACGTTGATCTTGTCTAATACTCATTTCAATCTACATGGTTTAAATTTAAGATTTCCTGTTCTGTTTCAAATCAACAGAAGACATCACATTACTCATTATACAAGCCATAACTATTTGTATTTTTCTGTTTAGTAATAGTGAATCATGACCAAGGACACAGAGGTGGACATGAAGGACGTGGAGTTGAACGAGATGGACCCAGAAAAGCAGCCGATGACTGGAGATGGTCAGACTGGGGAAAAGAATGGCACGGTGAAACTAAAAGTGCCCGAAGACGAGGTCACATTCACTGGGCTTTCTAAAGAGGAGCTGATGAAGGTGGCTGGGACTCCCGGGTAAGATCATACTACAGTTTTTGTGTGTGAGTTTGGCAAAAAATATAATTGCAAAATGTTTGTTAAAAAATTCTTGATTTTGTTCATTTCAAGTTCCATTTGAAACGTATGAAATGATTCCCACATATTTCAAAAAGTTTATAAAGTTAAAACCTATAGTAAGGTAAATATATTTCTGTTCTTTGTGCAACCCCATTGAGATTTTGTATCTCAATAGGATTTTTCAGGTTAAATAGAAAAAAATAAACTACAACTTACTGCTACTTACTTACAACCATTTTTTTTGTAGAAATAATATATTATCTGTAAAAGTGTGATAAATACTGCAATTAAGTAATTTCAGACATGAGTGCACACATTTTGACAGATTACATTAATGATGATCATTTGGATTGAGAAATTAATGCCTCTGCCGACATACTTGTTCCATTGATGGAGACTGGCGAGAAAGAGACCCCGGTGTGAGAGAGAGAGACTGGAGAGACTTGTCCCATCGACAAATCTTCAAAATAAACTCAAAACCAGAGACATTTTCCAAAATTCAATAGATTTCTCTATGAAAGGAAAATTTACCTTTTTTGTTTGCAAAGAATTTAAATGATTGCAGTTTTTGGACCAGGAAAATTGTTATTGTGAAGCCTACTTTTGTGTACGCAGATGGGTGCGTACGCGCTGGGTGCTGCTGATCCTCTTCTGGCTCGGTTGGGTGGGCATGTTGGCTGGAGCTATTGTGATCATTGTGAAGGCCCCTCCATGCAAACCCATCCCCGAAATGAACTGGTGGAATGAGGGGCCCCTATACCAAATCTCTGACCTGAAAGCCTTTGCCGAATCACTGGCAGGTACTGTGCAATAATCATCAACGTTATAAATCTTCTCTTTGTCTTCCTGGGATAACTTAATATACAAAAAACTGGACCCACACTATGTAGAATTGTGTTTTGTAACTGCATGTTTTGAGAGCCAGGGACAAGTTACATGTCACTATAGTTCCATTGTTGCGGATCGGTACCCCAGCTCAAGAGATCTCTAATTTTACTTGACTAACTTGGGAGCTACAATACATACACTTGAGTTTTGTAAATGTGCCCATTTCTAGATACAGCCATATTTAAACTTGTCTTCTATTTAAACTGCACAGGACAGGCCCAGGATTAAACCACGACCAACTATAACGACCCAGGCTCTGAGTAATGCATATAAATACTTTAACCACAAAGTCTCAGCTTAAAGATCATTCAAGGGTTTCAATTCCATTTCAATGGCCACACCACATGCTGATAACCACTGTAATGATATCAAACTGCTGACAAGGCCGGACTCAAAGATGGTCAAAGTCTAAAGGACGCTAAAGATGATGACTAAAACCTTTCACATTATCCAGTCTTGAGATTGTGTGGCCTCTGCATAACCACAGAGACCTGCTTAGTAAGTGCATTGACACAGCTGCTGCTCCAGACCGTTACCAAGGAGGGCTCGGGTGTCCCACAGGCACGAGGAAGACTTCCAGGAAGAACATGTGACAGTGGGCCGTTTTACTGAAGGGGGTCCTAATGCCAGAGCTCACGTGGACTATTGTGTGATGGAAGACTCTCACAAGACTCTGCCTAAAGCCATAGCAATCCAAATCAGTTGCAACCATTGCAAGTAACAGGAAGTCACAAACTAGGAAGTTGCAATATAATACTCTATAAGACATATGCAAAAAACTTGGAGTTGTTTTTAGATCCATCCACGTTATTATCAGGAACTAAAAGCTCCTATCTCAGTCCTTTACTGGTATGATGTCATTGTACAACTATGACATCATGCTCAGAGCCTGGTTTTTAAGTTTTTCCCACAAATAAGTGTTGTTGATATCTCTGATATTTTGTTCCTTACAATCGCATATCTGTGTTTGCAGCCGTTAACTTCTGAATTTTGCCAAAAACAAATTAATTTCCTCCCTCTGGTGGTACCATACAGGATTACTAGCAGAAAGCATTTTTTTTTTATCTTTCACACTTGTTTCACAATCATTAGCGTCACATTTTGAATTTACAAAGTAAATGGTATCACTATTATTTCTAATTGCCAAAAACAATCTTTCTAGACATATTTTCTCTTGCATACGGATTTTTCTAACACTTTATGACCATAATGCACAATAAACCTGCTGGGTCCATTTATTTCAACCCGTTTCCGAGCAACACTAGTGCCAATAGTTCCCCTGCAACACTAGTGCCAGGTGTCTTTTCAAAAACAAACAAAAAACTGCTTTCAGCTGGGCAAATTCACCCATGCATGTCAAATTGCAGGCTTGACCAGCTTTTTAATCAGCTCAAAAAAGAAAATGAACCTTTTTTTAACAGATTTTTGTTTTACAAAGAAATGTTTTTAAAACTTTGCAGAGAAACCACTCAAGGCTCCAGACCTGATGGTGCTTTCAAAGGCATCTCGTATTTCGTTTTTACTCTTGTAAACTTTGTAACTGAGTTTCCGCAACGCTCTTAAAAGCACTATGATTCCTGTTGAGTTTTGCATTAGCTTCAAATAACAAACAAGTGTTTGTCTTTGTTCTACCTTCTTCCTGCAGGAGTCGAGACAAAGCTGGACAACATGAACCAGCTGAAGGTGAAAGGCCTCATCATCGGACCTCTCCACACCGTCGACAAAGACCAGCCCTTCACCCTCGACCTGAAAGTCATCGACCCGACCGAGGGCACAGAAGCCATGCTGCTGTCCCTTATTGAGAAGGCTCACAAGAAAGGTACTAGCTTATTTTACCGACTAGCCTGCGGTCGTGTGACATCACAAGATTTCAAAGATCCTATTGTAAAACATTGTGGCTTAAAAAAAGCTCTAAAAGAGTTTAGAGCCAATTTCCAATTCCAGGACCAATTCACAAGAAACAAAAACTGTCACAAGGAGACCGTAATGAGTGTAAGTTTGTTCGTATTGTCAGGAATGAAGCAGACAGAGACGGATCGTGGTGCGCCAAACTCTGGAAGTTTATTTAAGTTTCTCTCAAGTTCCAGTGGTTTCAATTGTTTCTTTCTCTCAGACAAAATGGAGTCAGTACACAGTTTATATAGTCATTGTCACGTCACACATCGAAAGACATACGTGTCACACAGAGACGGTGCACATCATAGTCAAAATAATCAGAGTCCTTGGATAGTCCTGCACGTAGGCCATATTGCTATCTAATCCTAACAGTATGGCACTAACATGTCAACCTCTTGTCTTTTTTTAGGGATTTCTGTGGTGCTTGACTTAACTCCAAACTATAAGGGATCCTCTTCCTGGTTCACAGCTGGAGATGAGGCCGACGTGATTGAGAAAGTCAAGGTATAGTCCACTAAACTCTTTTAAGAACACATAGCTTCTGTCTGCTATAATGTGGGAATCTACGCACTGTAGGCCTGCACAGATAATTACTTTTTTGGCTTCTTGACAGCTGAAATAACTTCTATTTCCACTGTAGGATGCAGCTGAGTATTGGTTGAAGTCGGGCGTGGATGGCATCAAAGTTTCCGATGTCACGGTCCCGGCCCAGTCTATGTATTGGTCCGAACTCTCGGCTGTTGTCCAGGCAAACCGCACCAAAGACGTCAAAAATAAGTGAGTCTGCCCTAACTAGCAACCTAGGAAATATGTTTGAACGCTGGCTATATTACTGGGTCTCAAGTTTCGTTCGATCACTAGTTTTCACATGCATGTATTTTAACCTCACACATTTTCAGTTCAGCTTTGTCAGAAGGAATAATGAGAGATAACATGTTTTCAAATGAGACTGCATGGTGTGGTCTGATTTGTTTTAAAAAAATTGTACTTTCGTAAGACTCTTTCTGTTGGAACAAAGCAAACCCTAACTGAAAGGAGGTTGAGGCTTGCTGAGAACTTGGGCTTAAAAGAGTCCATTGTGAAGACTCAAAGCATTCCAGTGCTGCAGGGAGTAGGGTGAAGGAATTCTTTTCGAGTCATTCACAGCAAGAGGCCCCCGTGAAAATCAGTAAACATGACAACTTGTAGAGAGAAGTTAAAACAATACTGTGCGTATACAGTTGTGATTTAAGGTTTACACACACAGGGAGAAACTTTATCTTTACTCATTGCAGTTGCCATTTTGTCTCCATCCCCCTTCAACATCTATGACAGCTTGGAGTCTTTTGTAGTTGTTGTTGATGAGGTTCTTTATCTTTTCTCATGGTAAACCTCTTCTTTCTTCTCCAGATCCGGTAAAAAGTAATATTGTTTGTTAATAAATTCCTTTTCTCGATTTCAATTAATTTCAACTGTTACTAGGGCGGCACGGTGGCTGAGTGGATAGCACTCTCGCCTCTCAGCAAGAAGGTCCTGGGTTCGAATCCCGGTTGGACCAGGGCCTTTCTGAGTGGAGTTTGCATGTTCTCCCCGTGTCTGCGTAGGTTTCCTCCGGGTGCTCCGGTTTCCCCTACCACTAAAAATATGTACAATAGATCTGGCATGTGCCTCCTGTACTGGCACCCCCACTGCCAAAAAAAATCACAATTGTAAACCGCTTTGAGACTCCAATGTGCAGTGAAAAGGCGGTATATAAATAAAGATTACTTACTTACTACTGACTACTAATACTAGCATTTTGAGCACTTATGAGCCCCCTTTTGACAAAGTTATAACTAATATAACATTGATTCACAATGTGCTGACTCTCTCCCTGCTGTCTGCAGGCTGTTGATGGGTGTGACCAAAGGAGTGTCGGTTCTGGAGGTTTCTCAACTTGTCAACACGTCTGGAATCGACCTGCTCCTATCCGACCTGCTCAGCATGCAGAAAAGTAAGAATAAGAATGAATGTATGAATAATATACATAATATTAATACATGAATAGGCAACATCGGGAGCCCCTGTAAGTACCAGGGCTGTCGGCTTGAATTGTTTAGTCAATTAATCGGCCAGTTGAATTGACTAAAGATTAATCTGGCCCAGAATTATCTTAATGTAGAAAATACTACATTTAGAAGGATTCCCCTTTGGCCTTTTTGTCACACATTATTATATCCCTTATAAAATGGGTACATTTCTCCTTTGTGAGATCAATAAAGTATATCTTATCTTAAAAGGTTTTAAGTAAAAAATGTATGGCAAAAATAGACTTCTTTTGAAAAAAAAAAAAAAAGGATCGGGTAGAAAATGCTGCTCTTGCTCTATGTTTTTGATTCCAATGAACAGTGGATTAGAATTATGTCTATAGTGGACATCAGATGCAATCGTAATGGCCTCTCGTAGTAATATAAATAAAGGCTGCAAGTGAGATTTGTATCATTTTCCTCACACTTCAACACAATAATTTAAATGACATTATGAATGAACGATATGATAAGAGCAGAGCGTAATTTCCATTTTATTATAACTCCTAAACTGGTATCCTGATCTGTGTGTTTGTCCTTTTTAGATTTAGTGACACGTTTCTAATATGTTAATTTCCACAGTTACAAAAAGTTGTTCCAAGTCGTCACCAGCACAAGTCTGAAATAATTACTTGTCCTGGTTTGTTCTGCCTTGTTGACACGGAGCTAACTCTGCCGGTTCTTGTCTCCTGCAGCGGTGATGGAGAGGCTGTCTGTCATGGAGTCCCTCAGCGCTCTGAAGCTGCAGCTGGGATGGGGCCTGGGTGCGGCTCAGAGGCAGCAGCTGCTCCCTGAGCCCACAGCTCCAGGTTTGACTCGTCTCTACCACCTGCTGCTCTTCACCATGCCCGGAACCCCCGTCTTCACTTACGGAGACGAGATCGGACTCACGGCAGAGGTACATGGAGCATTTTAGCACTGATCCCTATGTTGTTTTTATGAATGAATGAATGTTTATTTTGGTCAGTTGTTTGATTAATAACATATCACATTCACTCATAATTAGGGCTGTCAAAATTATCGCATTAACTCACGTTAATTACATTTTTCATTAACGCGTTAAAAAAAAATTAACGCATTAACACACGTCCGAATGACCCGCCCATTTATCCATTATCACTCAGAATGCTGCGTGTGAGATGGCATCAGAGCAGGTAGGCCCTCTGGGGATTCATGTTTTAAAAGAATACGCGCGCCACCGCGGGGCTGTTGTTTGCTGTGAACTGAAGTCCGCCTCCTCCGTGGCCGCTCTGACTGTGAGCCGCTCACAACAACACGGCTGTGAGCGGCTGTGAGTGAGTGGCGCCGCGGTAACATGGTCACATAAGACCAAACACGCCACAGAACTATTGTCTGCATGTTGTGTTCGTGTCTTTGCAACCTGTGCGTAACCTGTGCGCGCAAATACAGCGCAGGAGTGTCCCTGTCTCCTCCTGAAACTAAACTAAACTGAAACGCTGAATTAAAGCTGGGGTATGTAAATTTCCCCCTTTCATTAACAGCTCATGTTGGTTTTGCCCAAAATCAAACAGATTTAAGTACATTTGGTATGAATGACAATGTGTCATTATATTTGATAATCTCATTTAACTTCAATTGGAGTGGATTTGAAATAGAATGTTAAAAATGTGATTAATCGTGAGTTAACTCACCATTTCTGTGCAATTAATCAACTAAAAAAATGTAATTGTTTGACAGCCCTACTCATAATATTATGCTAAGGCCTTTTGAGTTTGTCAGTATTTTTTTAATTATTGGTTTTAAGAAGTTTCTGAAACCAATTTAACAATAATAAAACTATATATCACTCCTACCCCGGTTGCACAAAACGTATAACAGATCTCATGGGATATTGGATAGGTCCAAGTCCGTAATATATTTCTGTTTAAGTGCCCTATTATTACTATTGATAATCAAAATCGGTCTAATTTCAAACAAAAGTAGCCACATGTCTTACACATCTACATAAATTGGGTTATTAGTAGATTAGTACCCCAAAAAACGGAAGAGACTAACTAGTGACATGGATTTTATTAGTTTCCTTTGTGGTTTGAAAGTTTGGTACCCCAGCTTTAATAATTTGACATGGATTCACCTCAACTTCTTAAACATAGACCTTTATTGACTCCAAAATATTATTTTTTTTGTCTCCCAGGGCGATGTATCTCCTAAAATGGTTTGGGACATTGAAAAGGAACCAGCAGAAGGCACCGCCAATGAGACAGCAGAGGTACGTTTGATGTCAACGCATCGTTTAGTCAACAAAAACTATTCAAATGCATCAATAACAAGCAACAACAGACTATTTTTTTGGGTTTTTTTACAGACCGATGTTTGGGTTTTTTTCTTCTGTTGATTACCAATTAATCAACCTATTTGCTGAAAATGTGAATTGATATTTTATTTATTTTTTCCCAGCCCAAGGCTTCAGTGCATGGCAAATGTTTATTGTTAAATGTTTGCACACGTCTCTCTGTTCTCCAGGCTGTGAGGAAAGAGCGCGTGGACATCCGAAAGTGGTTCAAGTCTCTTAGCGACCTGCGGGGGAAGGAGCGCTCTCTGCTGCACGGAGACTTCTACAGACTGGAGGCGTCAGCAGGAGCCATGTCCTTCCTCCGATTGTGGGACCAGAGCGAACGATACATTACCGTCATCAACTTCGGCCCAGCTCCACAAACCATCTCGCTCAAGACACAAGTAGCAGGTCAGCGCGTTCACAAAGTTACAGCTGCGTTTGAAAGTTTACAAACTCGGAGATTCCATCGTTCTGGCCATATTTACTTTAGTGGTTTTGTGAAGCCATAGTGTGTTAGATAACCATATTTTCTATTATTGATTTGAGTTCTCAGGTGAAATTAGCAGCTGAAAACACAAACATACAATTTGTATAGAATATAATTTTCAAATTTGGGAACAAAACAAATGCAATTGCCCTTCTGGTGGTAACATCGGGAGTGACAGGCAGAAAGCACTTTTTTACACTTCATTCATATTTAGGGACATTGTTTTGACTTTAGAATATACCCAAATCAGACTCTTCCCAATTTCTGCCTTCTAATAGGATAATCAGAAGAGTGAAGTTTTTTGTACCTCTGCATATCCCTGTTTGGTCAAAATGAATTCCACTCCTTGCGGCCTCTTTGCATTGGTTTAATTATTCTTCTCCTTCAAATCTTACTGGTCGTAGTTATGCCAAAGAGAGGGACTATTTTAAAATACTTTATTGTTGAACAATATCCATAGTACATAAGTACATAATAGTGCAGTGTACCATGGTCAGAAATCTAAAATATTTGAAAAATTAAATATTGTATTTTTGATTAAGAATAAATCCATACATATAAAAATTATCGATGGAATTTATGATCTGTTAAAGATCATAAATTCTATAGTTTTATGAGTTTCTATAACCTGACGGTTCCTTGTGTGTGTTTGCAGAGGGTGTGGAGTTACCAGAACAGGCCAAAGTGAAGCTGTCCACAGATGCAGAGCTGGAGCCGGACTCCATGTTGAGCCTGGATTCTATCAAACTGGGGCCTGGGCAAGGAGTGCTACTACAGTTCCCCTATGCAGCATAAGAGGGCGCCATCACACAGCAGTAGATTGCAAAAACTGGGAGATCATTTGACATAAAAAAAAACTTTGGCCAGTGAATTAGAATGAGTTTGAAGAAGCAGCCCATTGATGTGACTCGTGTTCCATTCACTCTGCAACTTTGTTTGAAACATTCCATTTTGGGGCATTTTTAAGGAAAAGTTATGACTTTTTTTCTAATGTTAAAGATTCAGCCTGAATTTTATATGTATTTTAAGTGGTTCTAAATTAAGTTCTTTTTAAGGCTTTTTGGTTAATGGCAGATTTTGTTCAAGTCAATGGGTAATGTGTGATAATATGAGAACTATGCATTCAAGTGGCAACGAAAGAAGTGATAGAAAATAAAACATTTTCCTCCCTCTATTCTGTTTGGACTCTCTGTTGAATGTTTTAGATAGTATTTACATCTTGTTGAAAAGATTTATATAATTATCTCTGAAGTCAAATTTACGCTTGGTACTTGAGGTCATATTGGCCGTCATGGCATGTTATACACAATTTTAATGTACATAAAAATTGAATTGATTTGTAAACATGGAATCCAAAATTCAATTAGTAATAGACCATTTTTATTTAACCATCAGTCTATAACAGTGGTTCTCAAAATGGGGACCAGGACACTCATATCTACAATTCTTTTGATACACCCATGCATTTCCAGTTAGCTAAATTATATCAAATAGTACTCATGTTTTTGAGCTTAAAAATAACATTTTGACATTCGTTTTTTTTTTACATAGCGGAAATGGGCTTCCATAGATGCAACTGAGAAACCCATAGACAGTTAGTTTATTTACTAATGTTAGTGTGATGCAAGAAGTGTCCATTTATCACAAACTCTGCTTAAGACATCACAATATTTGATTTATTTGATATTCAAATCAAGGTGCATTGATGCTCCTCTGGGATACTAATCTAGTAAAAAAAACATTTTTTAAAACCCGTCCTTTGTCCATCATTGGTTTGAACCATTTGGAATATGAATATAAAATGTATCATTTATTTCAGTTGTCGTGTTCCAACATTGTGTCTTTGACGAGTAAAAAACACTGAAACTTCTGCACTGTTTGAAGGAAATCATGTGGCCGTGTTTCCCATAAAGACGGCAGTCTTTATGTGTCAAAAAATCTGACATATTGACATGTGAGATCAAATGGTGTGGTTTAAAAATACATGCGTAGCTTTAGTGAAATTTGATCCAAATGGAATGGATTTAGATTTAACTTTTAAAACTGATGAATAAAAGTTGTTGATAAAACGTTTGGAGATGTGGAGACAGATCAGTCTTTAGGTCTTGTCAGTAGAATAGACCTCTTTTCAGACTTTAACCATTTTTATTATAGATTGCCGTCTTAATGGGAAACACAGCCACAAGATTTCCTTCAAACAGTGCAGTAGTTTCAGTGTTTTTAACACAAACATTGTGGGAACACGACAACTGAAATAAATGATACATTATAGATGTGAGAAAAAAATGTTGTACAAAGGACGGGTTTAACAAAAATCATTTCAAAGACTACTATCCAGAACAGTATCAATGCACTTTGATTGGAATGTCAAATATTACATATGTATACTTTATCTTCATATATCTTATATTTATCTTTTGGTTCTATCCTCCCTAATACTAGGACCTCCGCAGTCATCTGTTTATGAACGCAAATAATTAGACAGATTTTACAGATGGACAGATTTTTCTTTTTAATTTATTCTAGTAATCAAATGTCAAATCAAAATAGGAGATTGACCAGTTTTGTCAGCGTACAACACACTAATATGCAAACATGTTAAATACTGCAAATACATTCCATTTGGGATGCATAGAAGATGATAAGATAAACAAAAACAAAAAAACAAAAAAATTATAGCAATACCTAATGCCATAGTCAAGATTATTTTTATAGCACATTTACAACAAGTAGTGCTGCACAGCTGAGACAAATAGCATTCAAATTATGTACAAAAATGCAATAAAAGAAACACAGGTTGTTACAATACTCCACGTAAACTGCCTACTACTGCTGTTTCTGCACTGGCTAATTTAAGCTAATGTATTTATTTAGAAATTACACATTTCCGTCACATACGCATGATGGAAAATAAAGTTTAAGCTCAAGAGATCCTTTATTCTTCTCTGATTGGGGAAATTTCAACACAAGATAAGATAAAATAATAATAACAAAGTCTATCTTTAGCTTAGTAAAGAACTACTGTACACACTGAAATATATACATGTATTGATACATTTGTAGATAAATCTGAAATACGCTCCAGTGCATGTATATTGAGGTAGTAAGATAAGATAAGAGAAGATAGACTTTATTGATCTCACACAAGAGAAATGTACATGTCACATCTGGCATAGATAGAATCACTCAGATTTGTGCAAAAGAAAAATAGTCGCAATTAAAGAAACAGTGGCAGTAGTAGCGCAGGTTTTTTAGTCCTAGTGCAACTGACTTAAAGTAAGTAAGTAATGTTTATTTATATAGCACATTTTACAGACCAAAGTCACCCAAAGCGCTTTATAATGTTCAGAGTTCAGATATTATTCCAATCATTCCACACACGTTGATGATGGAAGCGAGTCGCCGAACACATCATCACTAATCTCTTAAAGAGATTAGTTAAGAGAAGTTTTTAGCTCTGTGGGTTCTAAGTTATTCTTTGTGTTTTCTGTTTGCCTCATTCACACTAAGGAATCTATATTTACATGGCACATTTCACTGAATGTCTACAAAGCACTTGTTTTGTGACACTAGAAGCCCACATCTCTGGTGCATCGAAGCCTCAATCCTCACCATATTGCACATGTTTTTAGTAGTAGGCGAAACCGGAGCAACCGGAGGAAACCTTCACAGACACCAGGAGAACATGCAAACTCCACACAGAAAGGTGTATTTGAGGATAGCAGAGGTGGCAAACTGTTATTATTAACTAACGCCAAATGCTTGTCTGAACTTAGCAAAACTGTTTTTGTTTATTGTATGGAAAGTCAATAGTATTTTTATTTAATTTTTTCATTTATGTATTTTATTTATTTTGGTCATTACAACAACAACACAAAAATGATAAAGCAATTCCTATCTTTCTAAGAATAAGATCAAAAAGGGAATAGGCTGAAGCATAGCTTATGTTGCCTTCCCGCTAGTATATAATGTAAGGAGGAGATAATACATTTATTTGGGTTTTAAAGAAAAGAGTAGGGCTGTACCAAGTTGATAGATTAATCACAGCTAATTTATTATTCAAATAGTTTTCAACTAATTTACTAATGGATTCATCATTTTTTAACCTTACATATACTCAAATATCTTATATTTTTCTTACCAAACAATGTTACTCCTAGTCTCTGTGGGATCTGCAGTTTGTTTTGATTAAATAGATTTCAAAAAAATCCTTATTCGATGGCTTTAAACAACTAATCAGCAATCAACATAGCCATTTACTATGTAAGGCGTAGAAGTAGAAAGTTATCAGATAAATAAATAATACTTGCCACATCTGGAGTATATTGAGTATTTTGATGATCCTAGAGTATTCGTGATAGTTGTGTGAGTATTTGGGGCGATCTGCAGCCGCTGTGGTTCTTGTGTAATAGTGCGAATCAGGTCCCGTCACAGAAACTTGGTATCAGTCAGAACCGAGTCTCACTTTTACTGTCACTTAAAACATGACCTTTACAGCTCTTCTCATAAATGCCTGTGTCTCCAACATGCAGCCATCACCAAGAATTTAAACATAAGAAGGGCGGCATGGTGTCTGAGTGGTTAGCTTCTCAGCACAAAGGTCTAGGGTTCCAATCCCAGTTGGACCCGGGCTTCTTTGAGTGGAGTTTGCATGTTTCCCTCTGGGTGCTCTGGTTTCCCCTACCACTAAAAACATGTATAGGTCTGGCATGCGCCTCCTGTTTGGCAACCTCGCTCCCATCTCTGTGTGGAGTGAGAGACAAATGCCCACAAAAATTGTAAAGTGCTTTGTGACTCTGTCTGTGAAAGGCGCAAAAATAGTCTTGATCAAATCGTGCACATCTGCTCAATAGTTGGACGGAGGGACCTGTCAGCTCTCAGTCCCCCTCACCATAATCCAGAATATTATCTACTGATTTAGTTTATTTTGTTTCCATCAAGAAGACGCCATTTTTCACCATATTGTATAACCAACCGTCACTTAAAATCTTTTGTCCTAACTGCTCAGGCTCAACTTGCTGTAACATGCAACTTGGAGTTTATTTTGCGATAAGCTTGTTCATGTGTTTCTGTGAGCTCCACTTCTGGGGACTACATTGTATAGCTCACCAGGGGCCATTCTGCTCAAATGAATGAGCTATGATGTAGTCTGAATCTAAAACTTATTTGAAGAAAGATTCCATAAACATATGCAGCCACCATCAAGTGTTCAAACATATTTGAACTAAAAACACTTGTGTGTTTTTTCCACTCATTGTTAGTGGTTGTGTGAAGCAATTTCTTGTCAAATATAAATGTTTACTCTTTTAAAAAAAAAATTACAGAAGCTCTATTGAGCCTGATCATAAGTCTTCATCCCCCCAGTTCTGAATAGTGTGTATATCCCCTCTAACATCTTAGCTTGAAATCTTTTGTTGTAGTTGTGGATGAGGTTCTTTCTCCGCTCTGATGGTAAAGCTGCTCCATTCTTCTTGGCAAAAAGCCTCAAAAGTTCCTGAAAATTCCTGGGCTGCCTTTCATGAACTTCATGTTTGAGATCTCCCCAGAGTGACTCAATGGTGTTAGAAATTGAAAATAGTTTAGAAATATGTCCAAAACAATGGCACCGAACATTGGTACCTAACATTATTCCACAACAATGGAACAATTGTAAAATCTGTCACTAGCACCTCTCTCTTAAAACAGTTTGCTTCTATCACTAGTTTTCACATGCATGTATTTCTGGTCTCTGTCACACCTTTAGATTTAGTTTTTTTTCCAAAAAGTGAAAAAGACAGGACCACCCTCACTCAGCC